GCCCCACCCACCTCCCCGTAGGGATAGAGCTCCATGACGATCCAGGTGGGCTCGTCCTCGGCGATGCCGATGAGCTTCACGATGTGCGGGTGGTCCAGCTTCTTCATCAGCACTGGGGGGAGAGGGGGAACGTCTGGGGGGGCATTCGGGGACCCCAGAGCCTGTCCCGGGGTGATTCCCAAATCCCAGTCCCGGGGTGATCCCCAATCCCAGTCCCGGGGTGATTCCCAAATCCCAGCCCCGGGGTGATCCCCAATCCCAGTCCTGGGGTGATTCCCAATCCCCAATCCCAGGGTGATTCCAAATCCCAGTCCCAGGGTGATCCCCAATCCCAGGGTGATTCCCAATCCCAGTCCCGGGCTGATTCCCAATCCCAGTCCCAGGGTGATTCCCAGTCCCAGGGTGATCCCCAATCCCCATCCCAGGGTGATTCCCAATCCCAGTCCCGGGGTGATTCCCCAATCCCAGTCCCGGGGTGATTCCCAATCCCAATTCCAGGGTGATCCCCAATCCCAGTCCCGGGGTGACTCCCAATCCCAGTCCTGGGGTGATTCCCAATCCCAGTCCCGGGGTGATTCCCCAATCCCAGTCCCGGGGTGATTCCCAATCCCAGTCCCAGGGTGATTCCCAATCCCAGTCCAGGAGTGTTCCCCAATCCCCATCCCAGGATGATTCCCAATCTCAATCCTGGTGTGATCCCAAATCCTTATCCAAGGATGATCCCCAATCACAATGCCAGGGTAATTCCCAGTTCCAGGGTGATTCCCAAACCCCATCCCAGGGTGATTCCCAATCCCAATTCCAGGGTGATCCCCAATCCCAGGGTGATCCCCAAATCCCAATCCCAGGGTGATCCCCAATCCCCATCCCAGGGTGATCCCCAATCAGAATTCCAGGGTAATTCCCAGTCCCAGGGTGACTCTCAATCCCAATCCCAGAGTGATCCCCAATCCCAGGGTGATCCCCAATCACAATTCCAGGGTAATTCCCAGTCCCAGGGTGACTCTCAATCCCAATCCCGGAGTGATCCCCAGTCCCCATCCCTGGGTGATTCCCAATCCTTATCCCAGGGGTTGGAGTCAGAGCAGGAGGAATTCCCTCGGATATCCCCCAAGGAACTGGGGGAGTTGGATCCTGTTTTTTTAGGGATCTCCACCAGCCCCTCCTCCCCCCGGGGGGTGATCCCTGTGGAACGTCGAGGCTCTTCCCGAGGCTGAGGGCGGCGGCATTCCCGGGATACCTGCTTCACTCAGGAATTTCTCCCTGTTTTCCGGGCTGCAATCCTGCTTGCAGGTCTTCACCGCCACGCTCAGACGCTCCCCGTCCTGCGTGGGGCGGGGACACGGGTCGGGAATGCTCATCCCAGGGAGAGGGGTCGGGAATGCTCATTCCGGGGAGAGGGGTCGGGAATGCTCATCCCAAGGGCAGGGAGAAGGGGCGGGAATGCTCATCCCGGGGGCAGGGACAAGGGTCGGGAATGTTCATCCCAGGGGGCAGGGAAAAGGTTTGGGAATGCTCATCCCGGGGGCAGGGAGAGGGTTCAGGAATGCTCATCCCGGAGACAAAGAGAAGGGTCGGGAATGCTCATCCCGGGGGCAGGGAGAAGGGTCGGGAATGCTCATCCCGGGGCGGGGAAAAGGGTCGGGAATGCTGATCCCGGGAGCACGGAGAAGGCTCGGGAATGCTGATCCCGGGATTTCCCAGCCCCGGGAGGGGTGGGGGTCTCACCGGGGTGTTGTAGAGCCCCTCGTAGACCTCTCCAAAGAATCCTTCCCCCAGGATCCGGCCCAGAGTCACCGCCTCCCGACGGATCCCGCACTGCCCTGCCGGGAACGAGGGACAGGGGGATGGGGGGGCAGAGCCAGAGCCCCGAATCCCGGCCCAAATCCCGGCCCCTTCCATGGGGAACACGGGAGAGGGGATGGGGGGAAGAGCCAGATCCCCAAATCCCACACGGGAGAGGGGATGGGGGACAGAGCCAGATCCCCAAATCCCACACGGGAGAGGGGAATGGGGGAGGAGCCAGATCCCCGAATCCCAGCCCAAATCCCGGCTCCTTCCATGGGGGACATGGGAGAGCGGAATGGGGGCGGAACCAGATCCCCAAAATCTGACCCCTTCCATGGGATCCATCCCTGGATCCTGCTCCATGGATCCTCCCATGGGATCTATCCCTGGATCAAGGGGATCCATCCCTGGATCAAGGGGATCCATCCCTGGATCCTGCCCCATGGATGCTCCCATGGGATCCATCCCTGGATCAAGGAGATCCCTGGATTCTGCCCCACGGATTCTCCCACGGGATCCATCCCGGCTCCCCCAGGATCTTCCAGAGGGGGGTTGTGCAGATGGGCTGGGAATCTGGGAAGGGGCAGGGGGATTTCCTGACAGACCCCCCACGCTCGGGACGGGACCCACCTGCAGACCTGGGCCCCGAGGACTCATCCAGGATTTCGGCGTAGATGTCGGAATCTGGGGGGGGGGGGGGGGGGAA